CCATCCCCACAAGTCAATTACAGCCACTCTTTGATCTCTTAAAGGGAGACAAAAACCCAGCCTCCAGATGGTATCTAAACCCAGATGCCAAAAAGGCTCTCCAAATAATTAACAACCACTTCCAAAAAGCATCACTAGCCAGATATGACCCCAAGCTGCTGGTTCAACTCTTAATTTTTAATTCCTCCCCCACCATGGTGGGAGCAATTCATCAGCCACACGGAGTACTAGAATGGCTTCACATGCCAGTAGGGGGCGCTCCTCGCTTTCTTACAGAAGTAGACACTCTTGCATCTATGATTCGTCAAGGAAGAGAAAAAACCCTACAAATTCTAGGAAAAGAACCTGATACCCTTATTATCCCCTTCCCATTATCAAATGTACACTGGCTCCTAAAGCATCACTTCTCTTTTGCAATTAGCTTAATAGGCTTCCCAGGACAAATTGATAATCACTATCCCAATACAATTTGTATTTCTATTTAAAAAAAAAAAAAAAGAGGGCCAGGCACGGTGTGTACACTTTTAATCCCAGCACTAAAGAAGTAGAGGCAGGCAGATGTCAGTGAGTTCTAAGCAAGCGAGTTCCAACCTGGGCTACATAGTGAAACTGTATCAAAACAAAAACAAGATAACATAAAGTTAGGGGAAGGGAGATGGGGATGGATCTGAGAGATGAGAAAGGGGTTGAATATGATCAAAGTAAACTATGAAATTATCAAAGAATAAAAATATTATTTTTTAAAAAGACCTTCACTTTTTTTCAAAACTTAGTAAGAAAATAGACTAGAAATCCTATGATTATCCACAACTATTTTCCCTTTCCCATTTCACTAGATATTACCAAAAAATTAAACCTCACACTAAAAAGCTTAAATTCTTTCTTACTATATACCTAACGTATTACATAAAAAATGAAAACAGCCTACCTCTAAAAATCAGACATTTTTTTTCTAAGTTATACGCAAGTTTTTGTTACAGGAAAAAAATAAACAAATAAAATTGGTTCAGCAGGTAGAAGAGCCTGCTGGCAAGACGGATGTTCTAAATTCAATCCCCAATACTTCCATAGTGAAATCAACTCCCTCAAGTCATCCTCTGACCTCCACAAGTACGTGTGCACACACACACAAACTAAAAATAGTAAAATTTAATAAAAATGTTTAAAATCACTAAAACACTACAAATATAATCCTGAACAATTATCTAAGTATTTAACATTACTATATGATACTTTGAAATTTTACATTATCAACTAATTTTCTTGTATGTTTTCACAATTCACATTCAAATATATGGAACACATACCATACTATTTTCCTTAATTATTAGACTTCTTATATTTAAAGAACTGTTTATTAACTAAAATAAAATATGAAAATTTCTCATGTTCATTCCTTTTACTGAGAAATAGACACAAGAGGAAAAAGAATGTCAACAGAGTCCCCCAATTCCAAGAACCGACAAAAGCCAGTGGTAACCATGGTCCTTCCTACCTTCAGGGGGTAAGCTGTAGAGCTGGGCCACAGGACCAGTCACAGGGATAACCGGCAACTCAAAGTGGAAAGAACTTTTAATGGTTGGGAGTGGCAGGCGATTTTTGGGAAAACACTTTCTCATTATCAAACTAGAAGTGTTGACAAGAGAATCAAGAGTCCTAACTGCCAAGCATTCCTGTTGAAAAAAGGAAAGTTTACCTTTAGTACAAATAGCTAATCAGGGTTGTGTTCAAAATGTTAATATATTAATAATTTCCCAGAGACAAGTATCACAAAAACTGGTATTTTAATATAAGATAATTATAAAATAGCTTTATTCTTCAGAAATATCTATTTTTTGTTATTGTTTTGCTTTTGTTTTTTGAGACAAGGTCTCCTTGTAGCCCCAGCTGACCTGGAACTCACTATGTAAACCAGGCTGGCCTTGATCTCACAGAATCCACCTGCCTCTTCCTCTTGAGTGCTGGGATTAAAGGCCTGTGCACCACCACTCCAGGACAGAGTATCTATTGTAAGTAAGAATCACATGTGACAAATTCAGTACAACGTTTCCTATAAGTTTAACCATGCAAAAATCAGTAACACATTTTTAATTTTTTTTTTTTCGGTCTTTTTGAGACAGAGTCTCCCTGTAGCCCAGCTGTCCTGGAACTATGTAGACCACAGTGGCCTTGAGCTCACTGAGTTCGCCTGTCTCTGCTTCCCAAGTGCTGGGATTAAAAGCATGCGCCACCACGCCCGGCCTAGTACCACCTTTTTTAAAAAAAATTTTTTTTTTTATGTGTATGAGTGTTACCTCTGCATGTACGTTAAGTGCACCCATGTCATGCAGTGCCCAGGGAGGCCAGAAAAGGGTGTTGGATCCCCCTGGAACTGAAGTTATGAATGGTTGTTAGCCAACATGTAAGTGCTGGGATTTGAACCCAGATCTTCTGAAAGAGCAGCCAGTACTCTGTTGAGCCATTCCTCCAGCCCTTAGTACCATCTTGACAAAAAACAAAAATACTATGTAAGAACCACTTAGGAGATAAGCAGCAAGTCCAGGGAATGAAAAAGAATGTTTAAGGAGAAGAGGAATAAAGTGTTAACATAAGGAAGGTTTACAAAATAAAAAGAAGCTCGGCGTGGTGGCACACACCTTTAGTCCCAGCACACAGGAGGCAGAGGCAGGCAGATCTCTGTGAGATCCAGGCCAGCCTGGTATACATAGTGAGTTCCAGAACAGTTAGGGCTACAGGGAGACCGTGTCTCAAAAAATTAACTAATTAATTAGTTAATAGATAAACTATCATTTAACAGTATTACTAGTGGGAACTGGCATTTCTGTGGCACTCTGATGCGTCATAAAATCTTTACTATATATCTGCACATCTGACTTTGCCAAACAGATGCAAGATTAAAGCTCAGGAATGTTAAACCACCCAATCTACATCATCACACAATAAATATTTATTGCTTCTTGTATTAGGACAACAAAAGCAGGTTTAATTAAGATTTTTAGAGAAAGAGAAAACACTCAGGTTAAAAAAACAAAGTGTTCAGGAACCTTAACCACTGTCATGCAGAAAGGTTGTTTATTACGTGGTAAACCGAGAAACATAACCAGACTAACTGACTGGTAGTTTCAAAGAACAGGCTCCTTCCTAATATCTGAAGCCTTCTAAAAACTGCCACATGTCTAATTCATTCCCTCTACCCAACAGTCTTCTACAGAGCTGGAAAAGATCTCATTGAACGTACTGTCATGAATGTATGTATTTGAGATGGCTAGCAGAGCTGGGCATGGCTACTTCTAGTTTTTACTTCTGTACCTTCTGCATTTTAAAATGGCTCTATCCAACAGGAGACATTGCCAACACTGACAACACAACTGCCCTGCCAGCTAGCAAGAATCCTCAGATATCTTATGAGGAGCGCACACAAAACTGAGTCAGTACAGTCAACCTCAGACATAGCCATACAAGCTCCCGTCCTGTTCCTCTCCTGCTGTAGGCTTTATACAGCATACGGCTTCCTATAATCTTTTCAAAGGAAGAATCTCACAATGTACAGATGTGCACTGACCACTTAATCCAACTGCCTCTGAGGTCATATGAGAAATATGATTGTGCTTTATGGTTTTAAGAAACAATATATTTACCATACATATACTTTTCTGAGTGCTTGCACATTATTTCAGTTTCCTTATAAACCAAAATCATACCATTAGTACATAAATAGAATGGGAAGAAAATAACTTACTTGTGAAGTGTTATATAGAATTTTCATCCCATTAGCATCAATAAATGCTTTTCTTCCCAACTTGATGTTTGTAACACTTTTTAAGCTCTGTAAAATGCCTTTCCGGATGAGCATGTTTCTATGCCGATTATCATGGCGGTGCCAATCTACATAAATCGTTAACAGCACTTGAACATATCCTCTGTCTACAGCTCTCCTGGCATTTGTTTCTTTAACAAAAGAAAATTGAGAAAGAGTATTTTTTAAATGACAGTAGAAAGTTCTAAAATAAGGCAAATCAAAGTATAACCTAAATATATAAGTTCTCATCCAAAAAAAGACAACACACACATTTAAATAATTTTCTAACAAAATAATTATGCCAAGTTTCAGATCACATGACGTTTTCTAAGAATTTTCATGGTTTACAAATATTAAAATTTGTTTACTAGCTGGGCATGGTGGTACACATCTGTAATCCCAACAAGCGGGAAGATTATAAGTTTGAGGCCAGCAGGGTCTGCATGTAAGTACCCTATCTCAAAAACACAAAAAAAATTTTAAATTAATTTCTTAAATTTCTTTACTAAGACAAGGTCTATATCTTTATGTTTCTAGTGAAAGTATTCTTATTCCACAACTACATATTCACTCCTTAACAAAATTTAAAACAACTTGAAGTACATTAAGGGAAAAAGTACTACACCATTTTTAAATTTTTATTTATTCACGTTATTTTATATGTTTTGCCTGTATGTATGTAAATGCAGCCATGCATACAATGCCCTGCAGAGGCCAGAAAAGGGCATCAGCTGCCTTGTAGATACTGAGAACAAAACCTGGGTCCTCTACAAGAGCAGCTAGTAGTCTTAACCGCTGAGCCATCTCTCCCGACCCAAAATACTACATGATTAGAAAACGGTTGTTTTAGGCATTAATTTTGCTTGTTTGCTCTGGTTTGGGTTTTTGGGGGGTTTTGTTCATTCGTTCTTGAGACTGGGTCTTCCTGTAGCCCCAACTAGCCTAGAACTCACTATGTAGACCTGGCTGGCCTGCCTCTGCCTCCTGAGCGCTGGGATTAAGGCATGTGCCAGCACATCTGGCTTAGGCATTAAATTTTTACTGTAGTGAAAACTAAAGATTTTTGCAAATGATCAATTTTAATGGAATACAATTAAAAGAAATCCACAAATTTGAACTGACTTTATTATATTTAAGATTATAAATCACAGCTAGAGAGATGGCTCAGTGGTTAAGAGAACTGGCTGCTCTTGCAGAGGACCCAGGTTTGATTTCCAGCACTTACATGGTGGCTAACAACTGTCTGTAACTCCAGTTCCAGGGGATCTGATGCCCTCTTCTTAACTCCATGGGCATTGCACACCATGGGTGCACTTACATATATGCAGGCAATACGGTCAGATACATAAAAGAATTAAAAATAAATAAAATATTATTTTAAAAATGATTATGAACCAAAGAGTGTTTTACTGAACAGGAGCAATGAAATAATATCATCACAACATACAGAGCTACCCAGAGCTGCTCTGGTGGGTCTATTACAAGAGCTGAAAAATTAGTAGAATTGGAACACCAAACTATCTGAAGTTACTTAGCTACAAAAAACCTCTAATCCCTTCTTCATCTCAAATTTATCCACTAGGGGCCTTGGTGTAGGTATGGACACCAAGATGATGCTGGCTTTAACTGCCTGAATGGATCGTTAGTCTCAAAATGCTTCCGTAGCCTAATACACAACACTAAGAAACAAACTTAACTCATCCTCTTTCAGAACTACACTCAAGGGGAGAACATTTTGTTATCAGAGCACTTTTAAAACCTCTATTGTAAATTGGGTATGGTAGTGTATGCCTGATATTAGCACTTGGGAGGCAAAGCAGGAAGATTGCCAACCTGGGTTGATAAAACAAAAAGACCCTCTATTGTCTCTATAATAGCTAGTTCTAAAGCTGTGGCTATGGGCACAATCAGTTCAACTGTTTTGACCAACGAAAGTTTCTTATGTTTTAAAGCTAGGATTGTTGGTAGAGTGCTTCCCAACACCACATAAACCAGACACGGTGGTGAACATCTGTTATCTCAGGCCTGGGCAGGTAGAGGTTAGAAGGATCAGAAGTTCAAGATCATCCTTGTCTACACAGTATGTTCCAGGCCAGCCTGGGGGATAGGAGACCTTGAATCAAAAAGGCTGCACACTTAAAACGAGTATTTACTTTGTTTACACCACTTTATATTTATAAGCCTTTACTAGCTGTATGATTTAGTTAAAAGTCGTTACGATCATTGTAACAATTAAAAAATTTGCTTCAGCTAGAATTCCCAATAGCCTAAATAAATGGTATTTATAAGAAGTATTAGCCCTGGCCCTCTTGGTTGGGGGCAGTTCCGCACCTAAGACAGGAAGATGATGGTCACAAAGAAGGCAGAAACGTCTCTGGACCTGATCAACTCTAGGCTCCAACTTGTTACAAAAAGTGGAAAATATGTACTGGGGTACAAGCAGATACTAAAGATGATCACATAGTCAAATTGGTCATCCTTAGTAACAACTGCCCAACTTTAAAGAAATCAGAAATAGAAAACTATGCCATGTTAGTCAAAACTGATGTCCATCACTACAGTTCCCACACTGGCTGTCACTGATCCAGGAGATTCTGATATTACTAAAAGCATGCCAGAACAGACTGCTGACAAGTAAACCCAGAATGGTTTCTTTAATAAAAACTTGCCAGAGCTTGTTTTTAAAAAATGTTAATTTCTGGCCGGGCGTGGTAGCACACGCCTTTAATCCCAGCACTCAGGAGGCAGAGGCTGGCGTATCTCTGTGAGTTTGAGGCCAGCCTGGTCTACATAGTGAGTTCCAAGACAGCTGGGGCTACAGGGAGACCCTGTCTCAAAAAGACCAAAAAAGAAAAAATGTTAATTTCTGGGGCTGGCAGTTAAGAACACTGGTTGTTCTTGCAGAAGACCCGGATTCAAATTCCAGCACCCACATGGCAGCTAACAATTGTCTGACATGGCAGCCAACAACTGTCTGTGACTCCAGTTCCAGGGGATCCGACAGCCTCTTTCTGTCCTCCATGGGCATTGCACATGGGTGCAGGCAATACACGCATACACATAAAATAAAAATAATAAAATATTTTTTAAAATGTTAATTTCTAATGAAATGCCTAATTAGAAATTCAATATAATTCAGACGCAGGTGCTGAATTGACCCTTAAAAGAAATAAACAGAGCTACCTACAATCTGCAGTAAGCACAATTAAAATAAATTAGTAAAAGGGCTTTATTTATGTAGTCAAGGTACAAAACTCCCTATGAGCTTGTCTCCCCTCTGTAAACACAAGAAACTTTAATTTTCCTTTAAGCTACAGCATCAGCTTTACACTCTAGCAGTTCAACTGGCTGCCTATCTGCATGTTCTTTCCTTTACCTTACGCTCTGCCACACTTATACTTAATAAGTGGCTGCCCCCAACACAGAATTTTCAAAAATATACCTAAGGATGCTCCGAAATGCCATGGTCCATTTAAAAATGTGCAGTCTACTAATAAATATTATTCTGTAATATTAAATCTCATCCTACTTAGTGTGAAATTTAATTTGAAGGCATATTGAATATAAATTACTTGTCAGCCTGACAGAGTAAACAGACATTTGCCCCAACTCTTTCCTTTGCAAAAGAAGGGGAGAAAAGGAAGACTCCTCCTTAAAATGAAGATAACCGCATCGGCCATCTCAGATTAACTGAATTCTAAGACATCTGAAGCAGAGTTTTAGATTTTACTAATTTCGAATGACTTTATCAGTGATTCTGAAAAAATCAGTAAGCTTTAATAAAGGATTAAACAGCTATTTTTATCCACTTCAAATAAAAGATACGTCTTTATTCATTTAACAATTAATGTTTATGTAGTGTGAATTATAACCACATCAAAGAAAGTTTATAAATACCTTCCTTTTTTTCTTTTTTTTTTCTTTTTTGGTCTTTTCTGAAACAGGGCTTCCCCTTGTAGCCCCAGCTGGCCTGGAGCTCCCTATGTAGACCAGGTAAGCCTTGAACATAGAGATCCACCTGCCTCTGGCTCCCAAGTGCTGGGACTACAGGCCTACACCACCATGCCCAGCTATAAATACCTTCTTAAGCTAATTCACATATGTATCTTGGTTTAAAGTTTATTACATCACATATGACAATAATGCTACACAGTTGAGTACTATCTATTTCATTCCAAGAATAAAAGTGCTAAGTGAGAATTCTGATGAATAATAAAGATTATATTTTTACTTATTTCTGGTTTTTTGAGATAGGGTCTTCCTATATGACCCTGGCTGACCTGACACTCACTGTGTAGACCAGGTTGGCCTCAAACTCACATGTAATCATCCTGCATCTGCCTACCAAGGATTTGGATTACAAATACCTGCCATCATGCCTTAATAAAATGATGGTTTAATTAATCATCTTCTATTATTAAAAAAGAATCCAGCAATTAAAACTTAAGAACAAGGAGGCCCTAGCCCTGACAACAGATCTTTTAAAAACTAATTTCCTATTAGTTATGTATTGGGAAAAGGGGGGCATATGAAAGCCATCGACATTGATCTTCGAGACTAATTGTCAAAACTACTATGTTAATTTAATCAGTTGATGATACAGGAGAGCAATAGTGAAAATATTTCAAGAGATACTGAGTATGTTGGTGAGAGAAAAAAAGAAAAAAAACCTATAAATGTAAATACTTATTCTCTGAAAGCGTTAAGACAAGCTTCAATTCTGAAGACAGGGTGCTTTACAAATCCACATCATATCATTTTTTTAAATGCTATAAATTTGAATTTATGGTAAAAAATTTATAATAAAAGACACTAAGTTAAAAATCAAGTTTTATGTAGTTGATAGGCATTATATAATACTAATGCAGTTGATAGTGCATTACAATAACGTGTATTGAGCTTTAATTTATTTACTATATTTGGATAATTTATTCAAGTATATTTGAATCTAATATATCAGGAGCTTTATTTACTCTAAGAAATCAGCTTTAAAACTATACACTAAATCTACACTTCCAGGTTCTTGAACATAGTAATTAGAATCCTCTAAATATAGTAGCTATTTCTAGTATTTGAAAACTTACTTGATTTTAGCAATGCAGCAAGAGTGTCTAAAGCAACCCTGTCAACACAACAAGAAAACACAAACAACAACAAAACTAGTAAAATTAGTCTACAGCAATCAGAACATACAATCTTGTCAAATATCATCTATTAGCTACTTCAAACTTAGTTCTTTTTTTGCACTGATAATTTTTATTTGTATTCATCTGTCCTTTCAGTTTAAAATTAGACATGAAGATTAAAATAGTCAAAGTATTTCAAAAATTTTAATGAAAATTAACATTGTCTAAGTCCTTATGCCAGAAATTAGATAAATGAACTCAATTCTGCATTTGTATTTGACTTTTTAAGAGAATGCAAAACAGTCACACTGAAAAATCACAGGCCCTGGCTTACAAAATAATTGAAATAAAAACGAATGTTAACAGTTCAATTCACAGAATTCTACAGGTGCTCTCATAACTTTGATATTAAGGTATTTCAATTCTGCCATGCTATAATCCCCATATTTAAGATGATAACAACTGTAAACTGAAGAACTCTGAAGCTATCATCACAAATAAGCCAAATTATCTCAAAAACTTTCATTACCCTTTAGAGAACAAGAAAATAATTTTAAAAATTGAAGATAAATATTTTCTTGAACATCCTCAGACACAGTGAAATCAGCTGCCCTTAATCAGCCAAAAAAATATGTATTATCTATCACTGTAGAAAGCCTATAAATTTTTTTTTTTGGTCTTTTTTGAGACAGGGTCTCCCTGTAGCCCCAGCTGTCCTGGAACTCACTATGTAGACCAGGCTGGCCTTGGCCTTGAACTCACAGAGTTCCGCCTGCCTCTGCCTCCCGAGTGCTGGGATTAAAGGCATGCGCCACCATGCCCGGCAAAATTCATTTTTTTTAAATGGGTTACTGGAAAAAAATGGTACTGAGTTTCATCTTAAAAAACATTAAGCCCACATACTATAATATGTGCTTATAAGATGTCAGCTTTCACTAAAAATATGTATATTATAAAACTTAAGCATTTCATTCACCATTAACCATTTGTTGAATGCCTACTAGACACTTGTTCTTCATGGGTTTATATTAGAAAACAAACTTCTCTTCCAAAGATAATTTTACAATCTACATAATTAATATATACCTATGAAAAGAAATTCAAACTCACAAATAAAAGGCAAATGTGAAAAATGAGAGGCAGATTGACTACACATAGAAAACATAAAGAGTGTAACTGACTAAAACGTTTACAATGGACAGATTTATTCACAATAAACCCTGAAATTGCACTTCTTAACTACATAAAAAGTGCTCAAAGAAATGCCCAGGGAAAGAAAGTTCTAAATAGTTACACTGGTTTAGCACAAAACAAATGTGTAAACTTTACTTATGATAATAGTCATAAAATAAAAACAAATGTATGCTTTAAAAAATATTACAAATATTACAAATATCTATAACTTCCTAAAAACAATGTGAAGTTTTGGTATTATTAAAATAAACATGAAATTATATGCAGAATTTCTATTGTCTCAAAAGCCCAAGGAGCCCTACTTGCACTAAAGGCTTCCTATCTGAGGCATAGAAATTGGACATATATTTTTGTATGATCATGCTTTTATACTTGTGCAATAATGTACATGATTATACAACTCTCAGAATAAACATTCTCAAGATAACATTCTCAAGATGAGTACAGACAGCATTAAAATTGGCCAGAATTGGGGATGGAGAGACAGCTCAGTAGTTAGGAGCATTAGCTGCCCTTGCAGAGGATTGGGGTTTAGTTACTGGCATCCACGTGGCAGCTCACAACCATCTATAATACCAGTTCCAGGAGAAACAATGCACTTTTCTGGTCTCCGTGGGCACCAGGCATACACATGGTACACATACATATGTGCAAGCAAATATACACAAAATAAAAAAATAATTTTTGAGTCTAATAAAAGCACTTGGGAGGAAGAGGTAGGCAGATCTCTGTGAGCTCAAACCCAGCCTGGTCTCCATAGCAAGTTCCAGATCAGCTGGGCTAAGTGAGACCTGTCTCAAAAAAAAAAATAAAAAAAAAAATAAATAAAAAAAAAAATATATATATATATATATATGTATATATATATAAACCTTTTTTAAAGATGGCCAAAATGGGGCTGAAGAGATGGCTCAGTGGTTACAAGCACTGGCTGCCCTTGCAGAAGGCCCAGGCTTGGTTCCAGGCAGCCACATAGTGGTTATCATCCATAACTCCAATTCCAGGGGATCCAATGCCCTCTTCTGGCCTCTGGGAGTATTGCACTCATGGGTTCATTTGCATGCAGGCAGGAAAAACACTCATATACATAAAGTTAATAAATAAATGTTAAAAATTAAGCAAAAAGATAAATAGATCTTCCAAATCAAACAGGTCTTCATAAAAACTAAATAGAAAAAGAAAACTATTCCGTAAGACATGGTGCCAAGTACCATCATAGGTACTTTTTTAATTTGTGTGCTTTCTATCATAATTCTTAAAATAATCCTGGTTGGAAATGGCATGATTCATGGATTTGGAAGCTATGTACTTTAGAATACGATATGCCTAAAATCACATAAAAATTCTATGTGGAAAAAATGAATTAGATAAGCCATTTGCTGACCAAAGGGAAGCTGTCCATGGCCAGCTGTCTAGGAAGTGCTTTCTGTTCTGGCAAAGACCACTGAGCCACCTACCCAGGTACTGAGGTGCTTGAAGCACCTAGGACAGGAGGCAGTTTAATCACATGAGCCAAAGGCTGCTGAAGCCCTTCAGCTACTGCATGCTCTACTTCTGTCTCTCCTAGACTGGCTAGAAGGGTTTGTATTCTGGACTGTGACAGACAAATCTAAGAGGTAAATTCACCTGGATGGGGACAGAGCTACTTTCAGGATCAAAAAAGAGACTGGTTTTGCTCCCTGTAGCAATTCTCAGAAGGATGACTTGGCAAACCTGAAGACCAAAGACTTCCTGTCTGATGGATGGAGAACAAAACAACACACTGATTCTTAAATGAGAGTATAAGGAGGCTCATGGTCAAACAGCACCATCTTGGCCTCAAAAACAGGAGACACACTTCAGCTCTTTTTCCAGAAATGTGAAATATAAGATTATCCTGCAAGAAAATTTCAGTGGCTTAAAAACACAAAGGTTTGCAATTCTGAAAGCTTTTTGGAGTGCTGAAAACTCCAAATCTGTTAAATTCATATGGAAATGTCACTTTATAGCACCTTGTTTAACTGTTGCTATTTTATAAATCCCTTCAACTGGGGTAAGCAACATTAAGGGACTCAGATTAGTGGTAGAGTGTTTGACCATTATGCATGAGGTCCTAGATTTAATCCCTAGTAGCAGAAAAAATAGGGAACAATTAAGCCGAGACAAAGTATTTTCTCCCCTGATTACTAAACAATGTGCTAATTAACTGTGTTTAAAAAAAAAAAAAAGTTTTGGGCTGGAGAGATGGCTCAGCAGTTAAGAGCACTGATTGTTCTTGCAGAGGACCAGGGTTCAATTCCCAACACCCATGTGGCAGCTATGAACCGTCCTTAACTCCAGTTCCAGGGAAATCCGAAGCCCTCTTCTGACCTCCTTGGCATTGCGCCACACGAGTGCACTCACATACATGCAGGCAATACACTCATACACATAAAAGAAAAATAAAAAAATATTAAAAAAAAAAAAAGTTTTGAGTGGTTAGAGAGATAGCTCAGCTGTTCTTGCAGAAGTCTCAGGTTCAAATGCCAGCACCTACATGGTGGCTAACTACCATCTCTAACTCCAGTTTCAGGGGATTTGACGCCCCCTTCTGTCCTCCTTGGGCACTGCACAACACAGGTGCACTTACACATGCAAGCAGAACACATACACATACAATAAAAATAAATAGGCCAGGTGTGGTGGCGCACACCTTTAATCCCGACAACCCTAGGAAAATAATATAATGCAACAGATGCAATTTATACAATCAACTCAGGATTTTCTCATCTTTGGCTAATTCTTTTTTCTAACTGTGTGTTGTCTGTGTCTGCTATATGTGGGTATGTGCACATGAGTGCAAGTGCCTATGCAGGCCAGAAGAGGGAGCCCGATCCCTTGGAGCTGGAGTTACAGGTGGTTGTGAGCAAAAGGCCATGGGTGTTGAGAATCAAACTCAGTCTCCCTCAAGAGCAGCAAGCATTTATACCCATTGAGCCATCTCTCCAAACCCTATAGCTAATTTTTTATTTAAAACTTATTGTAAATTTCTTCAGAATGTCTTTCTCCCAACTGCCAGCTGTTTATAACATGCTTGAACCAAATTAAGTACTTCTGACAGTTTCTAGTATAAAACTATCATGATTTTTATTGGTTTATTCATAATGTTGGAAAACTACAATATGAACACAGTTCTAACTCCAAATGTCACTGAGATTGCTCCATGGTTCCATTAGATTAAAAGAAATTACCAATTTGATGCAAAGTCATCCTGAAAAATTCTACCAAAACATTATTTAAAAGGTAATAAATTTCAGCACTTACAAACCAGTGTGAAGTTATGTTAACAAAATAATTCTAAAATATTAAACTCATAAGATGGTGTGGATTCAGGAAAATCACAAAAGAATTTTAATATTACTGAAATGCATAGTTCATATTATGTTGATTAATAATTTCTCAGTATCAATTATGTATACTTTCTATTTTTCCAATTTTCCTATTTCTCACACAGAATACTACAAATAATAACCCAACAACTCAAAAGGTCTGTGGCTTACTCATTTAGGAGCAGTGAGGGAAGAAGAAAAGCTAACATCTAGGTCTAACTCATGAAGTTTTACCTATTTTACATTGGGGTCTGTCCTGGCAATGACCTTCAACATGAGCTGTGCCCTATACAACCTGACTACTGTCCTTGTAAGAGAGAAGGAAATGGGAAGGCAAACTGCTGAGGAAACTCAAGAAAACAGTTATGATAATGACCCCAACTGCTTCCTTCTGCAATAACAGTTTAAATCTAAAACCTAAAATTTGCAAGAAAATTGAAATTCGGAAGGGAAGCATCAACCTTCAAACACAAATCCTCCCCAATCCTCTTCCCTTTTAAGATTCAGCCTGTTTAAGTAGAGGAAGAACAACAAAAAGTTCAAGGTGTCTGGGTTTTCATAGTTAAAAGGTAGAGACCCTCAGATTTCTAAAACTGACCCTGAAGACACAGATGTTTGGCCAGCAAATGGTTTAATTCTTTTGAAGTAACTATAAAAATGTAAGCAGAGAGCTGTGAAGATGGCCCAGCAGATAAAATCACTAGCAGCACCAGCCTGACAATGAAGCTTGATCCTTAGAAGCTGCAAAGCCAGGTACTATGCATGTGGTATTCTGTACTCTCAGACTCCTACATTAAGAGGGAATGATGCTGGAGAATACACCAGATGCTTGCTGGCCAGCTAGCCTGGAAGACAAAGTGCAGCAGCAGGATCAACAAGAGACCCTGCCTCAGCAAGGTGGGGGCAAGACACAAGAGTTGTCCTCTGATCACATGCCACAGCACATGCATCCCACACATACACATGCATACACACAAATTTAAAGAACCAATAAGAAAAAAAAGAATAAGGGATAATTTAGAAAACTACTTTTTTTCCTCTGAAGTTCTAAGCCTACTGATTTCTGCATAGTTCTTCATATATCTGATATGGGACATTATAAGAACTTTGATTTGCTAGTTTATGGTATTGAGTACTGAACCCACAGCCTTGAGGAAGCTAGGGAGTCCCTCTAGCATTGTGTTACACTTCATGCCAAACATGCTTTTGAAATGTTCCATTTCTCCTATGAACATTTTATATTAGACATGGTAACTTGGATATAACAGAGTAATGAAGATTTTACTGTGGTAATGACATACAATGTGGATATACTCTGGACAAATGAATTTTACCTAACCTTGCAACATAACATAAACAAGCCATGTGCTACTCCCATGTGCCACTCTGGTGAGCTGGTCATATGGCTTTAATTGCTTATGACCCTTCCTTGCCCTTGACTCAAAATGTATGAATGTAAATTTGTTTACATATGAAGTAAACAGTGCTCATCTCCTTGTAAACAAAGGGAGAAACTGATGGTATCTGTTTATGATTGTGTGCTGGTCTAGTTTAGGAATCAGAAGGGACATAATCCTCTGATAAGGGTCTTTTACTTCCTCATTTCTTGCTGAAGACAGTGAATAAAACAGAAAGCCCATGGTCTAAAGCAGAGTTCCAAGAGAATTCTGAAGGAACAGGTTCTCAACAGTTCAGGTCTGCTCTTGGCCTTAAAATGGATGCTGAGTGTCAGAGTGCTATTGATTAAGCCATAACTGTAATGTGGCATACATGCTGCGACTGTATAGGAAGACCATGGTCTTCATACTGAAGATTAATCTGTAAAGAACTTCAGCACTTAAGGGGAAAATGAAGTGTAAATTAAAAACAGGTCTGAGAATACAGCTCACTTGCTTAGTATGTACAAGGCCATGGGCTCAATCCCCACCACCATTTAAAAAAAGTGTGCGCGCACACACACACACACACACACACACACACACACACACAGAGTGTACTTTTAGTACTACCTAGCCCTCATATTCCCATACTGCTTAGCTAAAATATAGTACATTAATACAGGCATCTGTGCTAACAGGATTCATCTCACTAAATCCCTGTACCAGTTTATAGCAATAAAAATCACTGTTACCGTTTTTACATCCAGGAAACAGGAACACAACAGGTTAAGTAACTTACTTTGGATCATGGGACCAATAAGGGGCAGAACTAACATAGAAACCCAAGTCTCTTGGTCCACTGTACTACACTGACTTGGTTAAGTTGGTTTTATTAGCTGTGATAGGAACATTTTACTTCATTACATTTCACCAAATGTTTTAGGGCTGCATATGTTTGCCTAAGTAAACATACTGAGTCACCCTACCAAATATTTAATAATTACATGTACAAGTAATCTATCAAAATACTTCAATCTATTTGTTTGTTTGTGTGTTTGTTTGTTTAAAGACAGCATCTCCCAGTATCCCAGGGTGGTCTCCAAGTAGCAGCACTCCTGCTAGGATTACAGACACACACCACAACACTCAGTGATTCTGCTCTTTATTAGGAAAATGTGAAAAGACAAGAAATGATCTGAACCCTTTCTGTTTAAGAATAAAGTCTGCAGGCTGAAGGGATGGCTTAGCAGTTAAGATTGCACACTGATCTTGCAGACGACTTGAGGCTGGTTCTCAGCACCCAAGTTGGGTGTCTCATAACCACTTGAAACTCCAGCTCCAGGGAAGCCAACACCTTCTTCTAGCCTCCTGAGGCACTGCACTCACATGAACATACCCACACAGACACACACACACACACACACACACACACACACACACACACAGAGATAAACATAATTAGAAATAATAAAAATGGGGGCCAGTAAGATTGCTCAACTGGTAAAGCACTTGCCTCGAGGCCTGACAACCTGATCTTGAGGCCCAGAATCCACATAAAGATGGAAGCAGAGAGCCCACCTATCAAAGATGTCTTCTGACTTCCAGGTGCAGGCCAACATACACACACAGAAATAATAGATAAAAATTTTTAAATAATAAAAAAGCCTCACAAGTATTTTTTTCTTTTTTAAATTTATTAGCTATGAAACATTTATAAAGAATTTGTTGCTATATAACTAAATTTATCCTTTTTTAAATATTATATTTTATTATTTTTAATTATGGAGGAGGGTTGGTACGTACATATACACGCAGGTGCCTGAAGACACTCTTAACTGCTAAGCTACCTTTCCATCCCCAATAGTCATTATGTTTTAAAGGTTCATTATTTATGAGTATGTATGTGTCTGTATGCCATGTGAGTGCAGGTGCTGCAGAGAAGAAGAGGGGGTTGGATCCTCTGGAAATGGAGGATGTGGCTGTGAGGGACCTGACATGGGTGCTAGGAACCAATACAGATCCTCTGGAAGAACAAGAAGTGCAGTAAGCACCAAACCACGTCTCCAGCCCCAATAGTCATTATTTTGCAACCCCTAAACAAACAGATCCAGGCAGTGGAAAGAATGAATACCAAATCATGAAAGGGAAAACGGACAAGAATATTCTATGAATAGATCTCTCAGCTCAGTGACTTTAATACAAAACAAAGGACCCAGCACAACCTATGAAATACTTCATTTTAAAATGTAAATATAAGTCGGACGTGGTGGCACATGCCTTTACTCCCAGCACTCAGGAGGCAGAGGCAGGCAGATGTCTATGAGATTGAGGCCATCCTGGTCTACATAGCGAGTTCCAGGCCACCTGGGAGGTTCTGTCTCCAAAACAAAAAAGGTACCTGTAGTCAAGTCACAATAGACAAAAGGAGGCTATACCTGTATGCTAAATGACCTGAGCATAGCCACCCTAATCCACAACCTGATACATTTTAAAGACATACCACAGTTGTCCTTCAACAAATAGAAGAGAATAGGCTATTCACTGATTTTAAAGAACTATGAGATATAACCACCAGAGAAATCATTTGAACTCTGATTGAACCATTAAAAAGATATTTCTTGCACAGAAAATATGAAATGATATTAAAGAAATATTACTATTGTTGGGCACAGAAATGAAACTGTGGTAACATGAAGAGAAGTCTATATGTGATAGTGATCATACTCAAGAATTTACAGATCAAATGCAATGGCAGATATTTTAAAATACTCCAAAAAACAGTAACAGAGAAAGAGAAGGATAAAATTAAAAAGGCAGAATGCTGCTGGGACTGAGAAACAGACACAGGGAGGATCCACTGTACTATCCTACTGTTTTAGAAAGCTGCAAACTCCCTTAAGGTAATGAGTAACAATGTGTGTAACTTGAATTTTTTATCCAAACAAATCAACTGCAACAGTGCAATTCTGAGACAGGCAAACAACATACAGATCACAGACTATACTAAGGAATTGATCATTCACTGGCTACCACTGTAGTAGTGAGGTTATTTTCACATCCTTGTTTAACAGCTATATACTGAGGCACAGTATTCATTTACAGAAAGAGATAATCATACCAAGGAAAGTATGATTTACTTCAGGAAAACATTTAAACAAAACTGTGGTAGTACATAAATGAAATGAAAATAGTGAAATGTTGATGGCTATTACTAAATGCAATAAAGTATAAACTTTATGTTGTGGATGTTTGCAAAATGCCAAGAAATTTTTTACAGAAGAAGCTCTAGACAGAAGAAAATACTAAACATAAAAAATAACTGCAAATTGCTTCACTTTCTAAAGTGAGGTTAAAAGATATATAAATAAATGAAAGTAAATATATGCACAATATAATCTCAAAATACATATACATACATATGTGTGTATATGTATGTATATATGTGTGTATGGGTGTTTGTATATATGCTTGTGTGTATGTGTGTGTATAGAAATGTATATACAAATAATCATGAGACTATGGAAACAGTCATTGTAAGATTACAAAATTGGGTGAGGACTACAGTAGGCATTCAACAAATGTTTCTGAATGAATAATATTCTATAAATGATCTATTTCCTCTTAAAGTATCTGGAAGTACAAAAAGCCTAAATCTCTATAAACACTGTATTTAGTAAATTGAAATTTCTAATTTCAATTGAAAATTTCCACTTTAAAGATTACTTTTAATGAAGAAGCTCTTTATCACGATAAAATCACTATACAAGACCTAAGAAAAGACTGTACATACAACTGAATTCAATCTGCTTATTGTACATATCACAACAGTGGGGCTCAGAATAACTAAGGACCTCTTTCCAAAACTCACATTCAAAACAGCTACTCACTTCATAAGACCCAAATTCTTCTTACTAAATGGTCCAATGATTTTAAACATCAGCTCCACGACTCCATTTTTACCTAGAGATACTGAATTCACAGCTGAGAAGGAAGAAAAAGATGCAAAATTGCATATAAATTTAGTGATACATATTTAAAAACACTCAAAGTTATTTAGTAAATGCAAAATCAAGATTCTCTGAGTACTCTAAACAGTTGTGTTTTCATTTGGTTTTGCTTTGTTTTTAATGGAATATGGAAACAACTTACATACCAAAAAGAGTTGTAAAAAGCTATTTCAATTGTTTCATTTATTCCACAAAAGTGGATGCGGGGAATGAGAGACAGCAATTACAGGCCCTACTCAAAGAAAACTCAGAGGAAAATGGGGGGGGGTCAACAAATAATTACAAAATCAGTTTCTAAAGATATTAAAAGTTACAAATTGTCTTATACCACTGAGATATCCCCAATTCAGAATGAGACTAAGGGATTTCTAGAGAAAATGATGCCAGGGCCCACTCTTTCAACATGAAAGGAGCTGCATGAAGAAATGGATGTTCTGAAACAGCTCAAGAGACAGAGATAACACACATGATAAATTAGAGACCATGAAAATCATTGATACCAGCAGTAACATGTTAAAACACACACTATGACACACAAATGGGAAAGTAGGGAAAGAAGGCATGGAAGGGCCTTACAAGGTAATTCTCTCAGCTCTAGAGAACTACCCAAAAGCAGCAACAAATCAGATACTTGTTTAAACAAAAGGGTCAGAACTCAGCACTCTGGAGAGTAGGGCCTCCTGAGGTATAATGAGAATCTTCACTGAAGCAACTCAGTTTATAAAAATAACAATTTCAGTATTCTATAGACAACAAGTACTAAGTAATGACATAATCGGAAAACTGCATCCATCCTTTTAAATTCTGAACAGATGTTTACTTTAAAAAATTATACATAAACCATTGGTTAGCATTCTAGTGGTTAAGTAATAAAATGCCACCAAAATAATGTAGCTTCTGTGTTTTATAGGTAATCTTAATTTCCTCTGTTTACTGATGCATTATCCTGTATGGCTGTTCCATCTTTTTTTTTTTTTTTTTGTCATCCCCTTGAATTGAGGTATTTTGAATTATTTTAATTCAAATTAATTTTAATTTTTCTATTTTCAAATGCATATTTCTTCATTTTTCTCCTTTATTCAGTCCCCCTTCTTGTGTTTAGTTCTGGTCTTCTTTGATTAGTTATCTAATTCATTCATTTCCTTATCTTCTTTTAAATTATATAGGTGTTTACTATTTAAGTATTATTCTAAATCCATCAGCTAAACTGTCAATGTATACACATATATGTATATACTACACACACACACACACGCCTCTCAGAACTGCATCACTAGTTTGCCATGATATACGTATGAGCTATAATTTATTTCTAACTGTATGTGTATATGGTATATGCATATAGGTATTTCTGTGTGTGTGTGCATACATGAGTGCATGCATGCATATATATGGGGAGGCCAGAGGTCAATGTCAAGTGTCTTCTTCTATTCTCTCAAGCTTATTTTGTGAGGCAGGGTCTCTGATATAGCCTAGTGCTCAGTAATTTATTAAGACTAGCTGGCCACCAAGCTTCAGATAGCCTCCCGTCTGTCCCCCCAATACTAGGATGACAGGCATGCAGTACCAGCTTTTTACATGGATTCTGGGTATCCAAACTCAGGTCTTCATGCTTGTACAATAAGCATTTTACCAACTGAGCTATGTTCTTATTCCCTAGTCTATAATTTCAATTGTAGGTTCTTTCATTAAAACTGAGATTTCACAGTCAGAAAATACATAGAAAATAAAGTTTATCTCAAGGGTTTGAAACCTAATGTAGCAAAGTAAGTGCAGAAGGGTGGTACATTTTATTTTAAGACATCTTCTCTATGATCCCTCTTCTCTCTGGCTTTTTCAAAGGATCTAATACTATTCCTTTTATGTTCTACTACTTCCCTATCAATCAATGAAGATAATTAAACCAGCTAATAATACTACAAAATGCCTTCCTCCTCCCTTTTCATCTATGAAAATCTAGAGTACTTAGTTTCATTTCCTGTTGCTGTGATAAAATGCCCTGACAAAAACAGCTAAAGGAAGAAACTGTTTACTTTTGCAGTCCATCACAGCAGGGGAGGCAAGGTGGCAGGAATTTGAAGCAGCAGGTCACATATTATCCATAATCAGGAACAGAGAGCAATGACAGCATACATGCTTGCACTCACTTTCTCTACCCTTACACACTGCAGGATCCCCTGCCTAGGGAATGGTGCCACTCACAGTGGGCAAGCCCACGACTTGCCCACGACTTGCCCATAGGCCAACCTGAATAGACAATCCTTTATTGAAACTCTCTTGCCCTCAACTAAGTTCCAGGGAACTATGGAACATCTCTCAAAATGTCCTGTAACTGTGGCAAGTCACCTGTCTTCTTGTTCAGGAAGGACATGGAGACTCCACGAGATGGATGTGAACCAGTGTCCAGTCTACAAAGAGGAGGGTCAACTCAGAGGAAACATCTCATTCATGCTTTCAAGTGAAGCCAGACACGGTCGAGCAGGACCTTTGACTTATCTTCACATAGATGGAACTGGTAAAAGAAAGGAGCCAAGGGCTCCTCCCAAGCCCATGTGAGCCCTGAGGAACAGATCCTCAAATGACCTTAAGTGTAAAAATAAATTGACTTATTTGGGCCAACTGTATGGGCTTAAATATCCAGGAAAGTATAACCAAAGAGTAAAGTCATCAATGTACTTATTCAAGAGTTCAAGGGATAATACTTCCCAGACATTAGGCTTAAGTCTATATAAAAAATTATTTAGACAATTATTTCTTATTGATGATTTTGTTCCTAACCAGAAAGTTCTGCTCAGATGTAAGACTTCAAATCTTGGTCTCCAATACTGTAGTGCCCACTTGTAGCTAAGAGAGACAA